CAAACAGTTGACTATTCAAATGTAGAACAATTCCATTGACTATTTGGGATAAACCATTATTGATGGCGGGCAATGGCATTCTTACTACCTACCTGGTCAATGACCTGGATAATTGGCCATTATAGCAGTATCCTCGATTTTCCAGCTTATGAAAAAGCTTTGCAGGTGTCACTTCCCATATTTTAAACGTGAACATTTCTACAAATGGATGAGTATTTCAGCTCATATCAGCTGTATTCTGGTGACCCCTTTATATAAGACTTCCAGACAGCTTATGTCGAAACACTTTCGACGGAAATTGTGCTGACATATTTGGGGCAATACGACCAATGTGGAGGTTATTCATTAAAAGGACACAGCAGCGATATGTTTTTTATAGTACTCACTTTCATTTCAGTGACTTATTTTATTAAACTATTAGTTTTTTTTTCTGTACTTCATATTTATTAGCTTATTCAGCGGAGATGCTGAACTGCACCTCGGACAGAGGGAGATATCCTCTTACTAATATCTAACTCAATTTCTTTACTCCCTGAAGAGAGCTATTTCTATTGAAGTGAAAGGGCGACGCAGAGAGTGTGGCTAGTGAGGAAGGGCAGAAATGCTCTGTTTTGGAGAACTGGTATCGTATTCAGTGTACATCATTATTCTTGACAATTATTCCATTGTTTTCTAATTTTCAATCGCTATGTTGCTAGGAGATATTGTATGGAATAAGACGATGTAAAAGACGTGAGGCAATATCGTAATATTCTTTGCTCAATATGTACAAATCATTGAGCGCCGATGGTTGCGTGACTGGATGATTGACGAGTTTATTCAATTACATGCATGATTTGCAAACACACTGAAAACATAGGAATGTGTATTAACGAACACAAGTCATACATAGAAGAAACCTCCTTCCTTTGAAACGCAGAATAGGACTGAATTATTGAACGAAAACCGGGCATTATTTCCAAACTTCGTAACATTGTCGTAGCTGTGACACTTATAGAATTCACAGCAACACGGTGAAAAATTAGCACATAACAATTAATCAAGCGTTATCGCGAATGTAATGTCAGACTGGTGCAAAAGTAGCGGCTGTTACAGATTGTGAATTCAAAATAGGGCGCAAAGCAGCAGACATAACCCGCAACATCATCGACGTATCTGGCCCACGAACAGCTAACGAATATACAATACAGCAGTGGTTCAAGAAATTTCGTAGAAATAACGAGAGCCTTGAAGATTTGGAACGTTGCGGCCACCCATGGAACGTTGACAATGATCAGCTGAAAGCAATAATCAAAGTTAATATTTTTAGGACTACACGAGATGCTGCAGAAAAAATCATTGTCGACCAATCTACTGTCACTCACTATTTGAAGCAATTGGGAAGGCGGGAAAGGCTGGTGTAAAAGTAATAGCGGTTTAATTACAGCTGGTCAGTAGCCACACGTCTCACGCTTATGCTCCAAAAATTTAACGACTTAGGCCACGAAATTTTGCCATCCTCCACATTGGCCGGACCTCGTGCCCTTTGACTACCACTTCTTCCATTCACAAAATACGAGAAAGCTTCTCATGAATTCGCCAAGTCCCGAGACAGCGATTCTTATGCTACATGAATAAGCAAGCTCATTTCTTGTTGGCAAGAATGTGTGGGTTGTAATGCTTCTTATTTTGGTTAAAAAAAAAGATCTTGGAGCCTAGTGATCATGGGTACATTTGCGGAATGGAAACCGCATTACATTTGCACCAGTCTATCATTCTTGATTATCTCAAATGAAATTCTAGAAAGAGAACTTATCTCTAATGATCCTCAATTTTAAAAACTTCTATGAGAAAAATAAGTATGAGACTGCCGCGTGATTTCACTTTCCTCTACAATCAACTTTTAAGATGTAAGGCGCTCAACTATCCATGAGTTAAGGACAGACATTCCTGATAATTTGGGTAGTGTTAACGTGTTTATGGACCTACATTGTAAGCTCGTTCTAAACGACGAAGGCTAAATTCAACCCAGTCAACCTCGATGTTCGAATGTGTGTGCAGTGACATGATCTTCAATTGAAATGGGAATAGCAATGACTGACAACAGCTTTTTGATCCAATTTCATTTATGACTTTGGAAAAAGTAGATTTTCATAAGTGTATTGCATTTTCTAATTGAACACCTTCATGATGATTTTGATCATTTTTTGTGACATTTCAGGAAATTATGAATTAAGTTTCAAGTGCACGTGTCAGAGCACTAAAAGCTTTCAAACCACTAGCGATAGCATTTTGAATAAGAGCCTAAAACTTTTTCACTCATTAATGAATCTCTACCTGATCTAAAAAACCCGCCTCATATACGACGCGCCATCCGGTGGCCATAACCATCTGCTGTTACCTTCAGCTTTGCGCAGTGGCGATAACGTGACCAATGAGGCTTTGCCGAGGTGCGTTTATTGCTGGTTGAAAACTTTTCCCAATTGCCCACGATGGCCCCTGGAACATGGGTATCATACGCAATTTTTGAACGCCCCCAGGGGGCAGCACGAGGGGTGATGACCGATGAGAGGTAGGGATTACATAACTTCCGAAGAGAGTTGGAATCCGATGGTTTATGACAAATAAGGAATCCCTCTGAACAAATCGTCTACTTCAGTGTAAAAAATGCGGTAAACTGGAAGAACAGTGGAACCGGTTGTTAAGCGAAATTAAGACGAAGGTCTTCTCCGCAAAGAATGGGCCGAAAGAGACACTCAAGAAGTTGACAGGAGGGTGGCTCTTCTGAAGGTCATGCTCCTTCTCTGACGATGGGCGATACGGGAAACTATTTCCTGGGTGATGAGTAATACTAAAATATCTCTATCCCTAGTAACTGATAGTATAATAGATTTTAATTTTTCAGTTCTCAAACGTGTGGTATGCAACATTTTTGTGCTGATGAGATGTAATAATCAAATTCTTGCTTTCAGTCTTTAGTAAGATTCTATGCATTCGTCCAAAAACACGTGAAATTTGATTTCTATCCAATTGTTAAGCTCTTGCGTCCTAAAGAACACTTAGGGACTAGAAGGCACTGATAATGCCTTGTAACGAAATAATGTAACTAAGTCACTCAGTCGATTTAGTTGGTATCACCGCACTACGGACCGCCCAGTAATATGACTGAAGTACAGTCATATTTTTTTCTCCTGACACGTTCTATAACTACAAAATGCAAACGAGTATCAAATCATTACAACCCTATTTCGGGCGACACGTGTGAAAAAAAAAAACTGCTCACAATAAAATGAATGGAAGATAATTTGATTTAGCAAGAAACTTTTTGTTTTCTTATTGCAAAAGGTGACAAAAAAGCGTGTCCATATTCGACATCTCTTAATATTGTTTCCCTACCAAAAGCGAAACTTTACGTTCTACTGACGATAGAAAGAATCATGGAGATCTTAGAAGAGCACTGTAAAAGTATTTTCCATAGTCGATTCTGCAACGGTTTGCATATCTCATTTAGCTGCAAAAACAAACACCCTGGGAACAGAACGAATAATGCTGTTGAGAACTTGAAATGCTATTGAAAGCTCTCAAAACTATACTCTTTCATTACCAAACTCAAAATTGCATGGCTTTCTCCTACTTTGCGAAAAATGAAAACGAACAAGGCAAGCGTTTTTCAGCCGCTTTGAGTCCACAAACTTCATTTCAACTCTTGAATATATTTAATATACCTGCAGCGTTTGTACGAGAACTTCTTTGTACTCAAGAATTTCGCCTTAGCACTGTAAAATTATCAACTCAGAGTATATCTTGTAATTTTACTTAATTTTGAATTCAACCACTTTTGTTCTGAAGCGATCAAAGCACTTATATCACTTGTAACGTCATATTATGTTATATGTAGTGGACAAAATCTTTCGAAACATAGTTTTACATTCTTACATATACGATTATTCATCTGTACATACTACATTGATTGAAATGCCCATAATCTTTACTCGTATCACTTTCGCCCCTCTGATTATCATGTGAATAGAGCGAGATAAAAAGTTTACATCTCTTTACAATCGCCTCTCTAACAAGGCCCGCTATGTGTGTCCGTTCTATCGATAGATTCAGAGATCATCGTATTTCTTTTCTTAAAAAGTGTATGAAAAGTTTGACATTCGATTGGTTGCTGTTCTGTTGTGCTCTCAATAACTTATGAGACCCAGTTTCCGAGGAGACTTGTCCAGTGCGCTGTCATTACGTTAGTAGTCAAGCCTGCAGATTTCCGACAATTTGACGCATGGGAAAGGTCACTAAACCTTATTCGTTAAACTAGAGAGAAGTTATATATTTCTTTGCTCATAAGCATGATACACGTACTTTCTCCAGCACATTTCATTTTAATAATGTTTTTGCTAATTCTGAATAGTTCTTCTTCAAATCTTACGTAGTGTTGAGGTTTCTGAGGCATTAATTGGGCAGCAATAGAGTAGATGTGGCACTCGAAGTTTTCGTTCTTTTCACATATCTTCAATATTCAAGCTTCACAAAACATTCCTGTCCGCATGATTATGGAACCATCTCAGCCTCTTCGAAAACACCCTACTCTGATAGACTTCCGTGTTTAGCGTCAACACAAAGGCCTGCGGTGCATCATTTTACCCTAGTTGCAGTGCGATGCAGATTGAGCAGCCCTGCACTCTGTTCGCTAAACCAATTCGAAGGATCTTCAGACTGTGCTTTCTAAGGGCAGTCTTCGTGTTGAAATAGTCGGTGGTCCATTTTTGAAGATCGTATATATAGAATAACAACTTGTAGTGAATATTACAGTGTGTTCTTGAAGGGATTAATGCCTTTTCATGGCTATTGGAAATTCATTGTCGGGATTATATTTATACAAGATTGGATTTGCCGAGTATAGTGAGAGTTCATTATTCCTTTTTGGAAATTTTCCTTTTTTTTTGTTTTACCGCTTTCAGAGCAGTACCATGACGTCGCAATTATATATCCAAGAATGCTGACTGATATGCAAAACTTTGAACTTCAGGCGAGAGTTGAACCCGCGTTCCGCCTATGCCGGAGGCGAGTGCTACCACTACACAACCGAGGCCTATTCTATACTACCATTCTATGCAATATGTATCCAGAATGGTTCACAGAAATCGTGCGCTGCATCTTCCAGTTCCTGCACAATAATAATGGCTTCTATTTCAATATGTCTTTGTGCCCAGTGCGCTTTCACTGGTTCTTCAGTATAACTAGGAGTTTACCAATTGTCTCTTTTGCACCTACGTCTAGAGTGCCAATTTTCAATTCAGCATTTAAAACAGGACTTGGACAAGTCGACACTGGACATCTCTGGAGCGAGTCTTTTTTGATTTGCGCACGCGCTTGATATTTTCGATAGAAAGCTAAGAGTACGTAGCAGGACTATGCAGGGACTCCCCGCGCAATTGGTTCTGTATCCAAAAGCTTGCGAAGAGCAAAATTTTTGAACAGAAATCAATCTCTCTTTCAAATTTATACACCTTCGTATACGGTAGATGCGAGGCAACAAAGAGATTGGAGGAACTGAAGCGAACCGCACAATATGTGAAAATGAGTTGTATCGATAAATTTTTCTTCATCCACTGAAGAATAGAATAAGCAGTTTGTTATAGAATTTCATAGGAATAGCATGAATACTACTTACACTTTTCAATGTGCGAATCCCAGTACTACTAGCATTCAAATCGTTTTTCGTCTTCTTCTTAAACGTCGTAGAATACTGGTAGCGAGTCCCTTTGCAATATCGACGATAACCTGGCTGTGGCGTTCCATAAGGCGTTGCTGTTGATTGCCGAAGAGGGTTGAGAGGTGGAGCTCAGCTCCACGTGCGCCGCGACGAGCATCACAACCATTAGGCCGTGGTGCCTCCATGAATTGCTCTAAAATTACAGAAACAAATAAATAAACATATAGGTCAAACTTGCACTGTTATGTTCATAGTACTGTGCGTTTTTGATAAATGTGTGGTATACTTACTGTAAACAGACAATGAGTCTTTCTTTTAGAGTTATATCTCAAGCACCTTCTATGTCACCGTCGTTGGTGGAATGACTTTACCTAAGGCTTTGTCAAGCCAACAAGCGGGACACAATCCATATGCATATGCATATCTATCTATGCATGCATGCATGAGTATGTATACGCAAACATGTAGATGGCATGTGGCAATTCGACGAAGAAGAGAAAGAACTTTATCCACCGATCAATCTGTTTTTGCGGACAAATAGTAGGCCACTTTAGATACATAATCCGCCATTTATTTACCACTAAGAAAAAGCTACGCAACCTGGTGGGGCTGTGTACCCCTCAGTTAGAAAGGCTAACAAGTTTGTAAGTATGGGTTTCCTAAATAAGTATATACCCTTAGCAAACATTCAGCTCCATCTCCTGTGAAAGACAACTGTATATGTGATAACGTGCTTGTTGCTGGAGCTACGAAAACCCTTAAATCCAAATGTTATCACTCACAACATTATTGAGAGCTCGAATGCAGTCAGGTCAAAAACAGCCACAATCTTAAACAAGAAATAAATATGAAAAAGGAGACCGCGGAAAGATGGAGTGTTTGTAAGAATAAAATATTGGAGAAGAAACTGCAAAAACATTTTTTGTACTCATTGCTGTAGAATGATGTGCAAAACTTTTGCGTCATTTGGGACTGAAACCCCCACCATACTCTTTCCGGGAGCACGTGCTCCATCCGTTACACTGACGGCCATTTTGCACATCAATCTTTCTATCAATTTATATATCTATAGATGCGCTGTAGCGTAGAAAGTTTGCTGTGCAAAATGGGAGTCAGTAGTGTAATGAGAGCACGCGCCCCCGGAAAGAGTGAGGTGAGGGTTTTAGTCCCGCCTGACGCGAAAGCTTTGCACATCACTCTACATCAATGGGAATATTTGAAAACATCGTGCCACCGCTAGAGCGGTTAACCAGAGAAAATTTCTAGAGATTGTACTGCTCCAATAAATTTTTTGAAATAATTCCTTAGTTTTGTGTGAACCATATCATGAAAAAAATGACACAAAAAAGGGAACAGCCCCATAATCTTTGAAAATGCATTGAAAGCCACTCAGCCACCGTTTATACAGTTCGTCTTTTTAGGAGAACTTTGGTATTCTTTCCCCGTTGCGTATGATTCGCCCAAATCTCGCGGTGTTTGTATTGTACGATACACAAATTGCTGGCCATCTATTGCTATCAAGTTTAGAAAAAGGACTCAGTGAATAGGCAGCTTTCCCCCTCAGGAATTTATTGTTCCAGATAGCTTCGACTAGTGTGAGTTCTGCAATTGTGAAACTAAGTTTTCTATTCAATGCTGATGAAAACACGGCTTATGCCGCAAGTGAGTTTTCACTGAGTGTATCAAGCTACGAGTGAACGGAGATATAAATTTGCCATAACAACACCACCCTCTTCCCATGACACTAGAAGAACCGTTGGAGGGCCTTGTTCTGAATAACTCTTTCTTTATTCATCGTTCTTCTCTGAATAGTGTCGCTTCGCAGAAGTGATTTTGGCAACTTTTCTGCAAGCGAAGATGAGAGGTCGCAATTTTCAAGTTTTTTTCACTGAAAGTGTAATTAGGTTTCCATAAACAGAAGTGGAACAAGGGTTAACAGAAAACTGTGACTTTATACTAATTCCTTTTTACTGAATGAGCTGCATTTAAAACTTAAATTCTATTAGGAGATGGCATAAGTCAGTAAAACAAATTGCTTCTCTCAAAAAAGCCGATCACCAAATGGCTTAGAAAGGTCTCTTAACAGCATGACCATCTAAAGAGTTCTACTACCACACTTCTCTTCAAAAGATAATCAAGGAGTATTTCAGAGCAGTAACAAGTCTCCGAATAACGAATCTGTGGATTAGATAGAATTTAAAGCAATATGACCAGAATAGCACTAACAGCATAACAGCTTGTTTGCTTAGCGCCAATGAAAAGTTTATCTGGAATGAAGTTGAAGTTATGCAAAACATTGATCTTTTATGGCTATTGGGTGTGGCTTTGCAGTGATTGAGGGTAACTTGCAAGACACAGATTGTTAATCTAATGCGCCATCAGAAAGTACAAAACCCTCTATACTCTTAGGGTCACAAAATTGATCCCAGACTTGTTCAGAAAAATTGCATCACTAACATAACATGTCGATAGGCCACCGTAACTCACCGGTCTTTACATATATTATATATATATTCATATATATTTATACATATATATATATATAAATATATATGCAATCACTTCGACGATACTTAGCAAAGCTGAATGACTTGCTCAGAACTGATCAACACCAGGGTCCTTATCCCTTAATCCTTTCATGATTAGTGACATTGTGCGAATCCTTGGATTCAAAATAGCTATTGAGACACGTTCTCACCGCATTATAATAAAGTTTTATGCTAATATAGATCATTTCAGTGGCTAGTGCTGACGTTGAAATAACAAACTCGTTTCAGTGCGAGATTCGCGCCTGAAGGTCAGCATGTCTGAGCTAGCTTATTGCGAGGTGCTAATTGACAATAAGTAAGCAAAGACTAGTCAGTTATGATGGTCTAGTGTTCCAACCACATCCAGATTTTCAAGAAACACTCTTGTAGCGACCATAACGAAATCCCGCATAAGACAAGTGATTTCTCCTTGAATTCAATATTGAGACGCGAAAAAGTTTGAATTCCAAGCTTTCACGCTAGATTAAGTAAAAAGAATGAAGCGCACGACGTCGATCAGCACGTGAAGGGTGTACAATGCATTCGACTTCTTCAAGCGTTGATAGAGGTGACTGATTACATCATCTGGTCCACATAATTACTTGCGATGGCCTATAGACGTATTGAGTTAATGCTATTGCCTTCTTAAACAGGGCTGCTTCCAATTTACAAACTCGAAAGGGTAGAAGACTTAGTGAGCCAGCTAATCCGGATTGAAGCAATGACCATGTGTAGGACAACTCTGACCATTGTGCTACACGTATTTGATTGTATTCATTTCCGAAATTGTGGGAGTACAACTTGTATAGTTTATGCCTATTAATTTTTGAATAGGAATTAATTTCAAAAAATGAAATAGGAGAAAATTCAGTATGTTTAGCGTTTATAGGGACGCATGATTTTGTTGAGCAAATGAAAAACCCATTTTGCGAAGGGCCTGACGTGAGGATGCAAGTTCTGGGAAGACATTTCCTTTACCCGACATCTATCCAAATAGTTAAATGGCGAAATAATTGGTCTCAAGTGAGCCTCTATGTCGCATTGTGTTGAAAGCGGAAAATTTAGAAGTGATGAGAAATAGGAGAAAGCAATAGAGAAAGGATTAGAAAGGATTGCAAGATTTTTTATATTTTCATGTGAGGACAGAAACGTGCTTCTTTGATCGTGTTTCTCTAATCTGTGGAACGAGTTGGTTAGGAATTCATAGAAATTTTTGCCCACGGACGAATAGAGAGAATGAGTATGACTATGAACACTTCGTAGTCGAAAAGAAGAATTTTTTCAGCATTTTGGACAGTTTGGGAAATAATTGCTTGAACCAGCTAGGCTTAGTGTTGACTACTTTCACGATCACATCTGGTAGAAAGCTGCCTTCTCTTGGGTTCTCATAAATAAACTCTTTTCAGTATTGCTCTTTCTCAAAGCGAATTGAGCTTTTCACTGTTGAAGAAATGGAATTGGTAACGAATGTCTTAAAAAGTGCCGCCATCTAGTTATCTGTCTTCTGTGGTAATCCATTATTTATCACTATAGGAATTGGATGCATAGACCAACAATGACGATACGTGACGTCTAGAAAATTGTGTCACTCAGCTGACGTGGTGCTTTTTTTGCTGAGAGACAAAAGCAACTTATTAACGATAGTTCTGGATATCAATCATCTGTCGTAACTATTAATCACAATCGTTCAAAAAATCCCGAAGAAAGTCAACGAGCTGTTGTATTCACAAAGTAGCCTTAATGTACTAAGACGAAGTTGTCAACACGTCGTTTAGCTGTCTGTGGCTAATGATTTGGATTGCACCTTCTTCAGAAACATTACTGTGACGTCAATTCAGAAAATGAGAT